TGTGTGTGTTATCTTTTCCTTTTCCAGAATGCCCAGTGCTGTTGGGAGTGTAACCAAGAGAGGAGGAGGCTGCAATGACAATAACCATTCATTATAGAAAAGAAACTTAGAGACAGAACTGGGATTAACTGTCACTTCATGGAATCACAGAGCTGGAAAATTCTGAAAACCAGCTAGCCCAGTCTCAAAGGCAGAATCATCTAACACTCATTTACAGATCTGATGCAGTCCAGACCATGCTATGTCACAAGTGAAAGAAAGCATTTGTGGAGTGGATGTAACAAACTCCAGTCACTGGGCCATGTGACTGCACTGGAGTCTACCCTCCACATTCCACATTGTTTGACACATCTGTTGATTGGCCAGTATGACCTGGGGAGTATGACTTTTGGGAGACAGGCCAGATGTATGAACTGCAGTTCTTACTCTCCACTATTTTATATGAATTTTTGGAATTTATCAAAGCGAAGTATCCCTAGCATGCCCAGAAATCCCATCAGCAAGGCATGCTCTGAGCACTGCAGAGCTAAAAGAATGACTTGGGAACAGTTCTTGTGCAATGCTGCAGTACAGCCAGAGCTTGCAGGATCATTGCCCTGGGACTTTTTGATTAGCAGGGATACTGACATCATATGCCATTCTGCTCAAGTTTCTCTGTACCATATGAGGATATATGCAATCCCCGTATCAACAATTCAATGAATATCCCATCTTCCTTCCTCTTGCAAAGAACGCAAAGTGGCTTATGAGGTTCTCTTCCTTTCCATTTTATCCTCACAACAGCTAGCCTATGAGGTAGGTTTGGCTGAGAGGCAGTGACTTGCTGAAAGACACTCAATGGGCTGCATGGCTGGGTGGGGGCCAGAACTCAGATATCCTCAGTCCCAGTCTAGCACTCTTAACCAATACACCACATTGGCTGACAGGGAGGGATCGGTTTCCTCAGCAACACCATCATATTGTGAACTATCCCTGTTGCAGTTAGGGGTATGTGAGAAATTGATTTCGGACCGTTTATGGCTAGGGTTAATGGTTAGTCTATTTTGTAACTTCCAGACATGATCTGCAGTTGAACTCTAACCCTAACCATTTACAAGCTTGCAATGTGATTCTCAGACTACCAAAAAGTAAACAGCTATAGATACATATGTATCTGAAGCTATAGATACATACATGTGTAGTGAAAAATGCACATGAAAACACACATATTATTTATGCATATTTTTCAGAAATATGATGAATACAGTTGGAGAAAAATGCAGGAACATGCACACAAATTTTCATGCAAAAAGAAATCAGCATATTTCATGATGGATTTCAGGAAATATTTGTGAGCTCAGGTTGCAGTGTAAAGCATTTTGTTCTTGGTCTTGCACAGGCAGTGGAGACCTGTTCACTTTATAAAAGATCTGCCCCTGATGGAGAGGAAAACTGGTCTAGATCAGCACAGCTGTGTACATTTTGGATTCATCTTGAAGCCATGACTATACATGAATGTCACAATGAATGATCGTACCTCAAACTGTACCACTGCATTGTTGCCCTTGGCTTGTGTTACCCTCCCCTCTCCCACAAGTGCTGCTTTATCTCCTCCTCCTCCTCCTCCTCCTCCTCCTTTGTGCCCTTTAAGTTTGGATGTGGGGACAACTTGCAAAACAAGAGTGTTACTGGTGGGCAAAACTTACTAGGCAATATCCCTCTTTGGTA